TTTCATGGTCTGAGAGGCATTGCTTGGCCATTTTCCAAGTGGATTAATGTGATGTCCTCTATATGGAGCTGTCCATGAAGAACATTTGAAAACTTCAGCTGGTTCACAATGCATCAGTGTGGGCAATTAAGAGTATGTCTCAGTGTGCCCATAGTTACATCTCTGCTCCTCAAGCTTCATTGGTTTCTAGTATGTTTTGGGGTCAATTCAAGATGTTGGTTGCTACATATAATGTTTGCATGACAAGGGACTGGGGTCAGCCTCTCCCCAATTGCTTCCACTTGTTCCATCAGATGCAGCAAGAGACTATGATATGGGTTCCATCAATTAAAGAATCCCATCTTGTCTTGTGGGACCAAGAAAGCAGGTTTTTCTGTCCCAGCATCTGTCCTTTGGAACAGCATACTTCCCGAGATTGAATTCATCCCAACTGTCTTGGTCTTTCAAAAAGCTATAAGACCTAGATGTGCTCCTGGACGGGGGTGGATGGGTTTGACGGTTCATTGGAACCATTGGGGCATTCTTAGTTTATTAATTTTTTAAAATCTTGACAGTCATTATAATTTTTATATATTAGTTTTCTGTTTTTGTTTTTGTTTTACTTTCTTTTATATGTCATTAGCTGCTCAGAGTCACAATGGAGATATGGGCATCCTGTGATGATGATGATTTATTTTATTTTTTTATTTATTTTGTCAAGCATGTTTTAGATAACAGATATAATTGAAAACATGATTAAAAGTACATGAAATGGGTACAAACAACAGGGGACACTAGGACAGGAACGGTAGGCATGTTGGTGCTCTTATGCACGCCCCTTACAGACCTCTTAGGAACAGGGTGTGGTCAACAGTAGACAGTCTGTGGTTAAATTTTTGGGGATTTGGAGAAGAGACCACAGAGTCTGGTAGTGCATTCCAGGCATTGACAACTCTGTTGCTGAAGTCCTATTTTCTGCAATAGAGTTTGATGATGATGATGGTTTCTGTATGATTTTAAGACTTCCCAGAGAATAAGAAATTAGCAAAGCAAAGCTCATTAGACTATTCCCCCTGATACTACTCTGCATCTCAGAAGTAGGGAGTTCTAATATTTTTTTAAAAAATTCATAAATCCAATTGACTATTTGAAGTGATATAAATTAATTTTTTCTTATGACTCTTAGCGCATAGGTTTGGCTGTTGTGACTTCATATTCAACCTACTATCAGACTGTCATGATTATAATTATTTGGATTTGACACTATTCATTCAAGACATTTGCAGTATTGTCATGTAAATCATGATCATGGAAATAATTTTAACCTCATAGGATAAATATTTACTACATAGGATATATTTTAGCACTGTCCAAATAATATAATACATATCTTGATTTTCTCTTGGATTTTCCAAAAGTCCTATGTAAATATTAATTTCATAGCTTTTCAAAATGTATGCATTATCATATTAAAGTGTGAATGACTACATTAAAGACTTTGCTGCAATTTCATGGATATGAACAAACAGCAACTTGTGGCTTTGGCTTGCAATTAGATGTTGCAATTTTGTTGTTATCATTTTTATTAAACAGCTGGATTGTCTGAGAGATTGCCTCTGTCCTGTGATTTCTGTCTGGCCAGTACGATAGAACAAAGTGGGCATGCTCTGAGTCTCCTCAGTTAAACAATATAATCTTTTGGGACTCAGCAAGCATTTCTTCTTGGTAACATCACCTCCCATCTAGAAGGATTTCTTTCTAAGTTCTGAATGACTCCCCTCCTGATGATGTTCTTGAAAATATGGCTGTTCTCCCAGGCCTTTGGGTATGGTGATGGATGCCTCTGTTTCAAATATGTGTTGCCTGGATAAATATTATAAAACAAGCATTTTAAAATTGTTTTCCATTAATTGTGTTACATATTCTTATTTATGTGTTGTTTTCATGCCATTTTTTTACTTTGTGAGCTGCCCAGAGTTACACAGCATTAAACTTGAATTAATGAAAAAAATAAACTGAATTTTTATATTTGATACAAAATACTTCAGAGTCAAAACATTGGCCAGATAGGATTTTCAGTCTGTGGGAGTTCAGCATTCGTTATCACTCTTTGTATACTGCCAATTATGAAAAAGAAGCAAGATAAATGGTTCACAGGAAAATAAATCTTGATGAAGCTACTCAATTTCAGTATTTTTTCTTGGGGAATTAAGATTATTTTACTGCAACACTTAGTTCTGTTTTCATTTTAACCTTCAAACTGGTTCTGGTTCTGCTGATTCTATTAAAATTTTCTTTTATTGTTTGTTAATTTTTGCTTCCTGTGTTAATTTTGCAGCACACATGTACTTTTTGTTTTCTTCTAGAATATTAGTACTTTACACTTCATATTATGGTATTTCTTGGGATAGCATATAAAAGCAAACCAAATAGTAAAACAAAATATTGTATTTGAAATTTATGCAAGGATGAAAATGAGAATTCAATAAATGATAAATGTATGCTAATAGAATATTGTAATCAGATATGTGCTGCTTAATATATCTTTTGAGTTAAATTATCATGAACTTCTTTACATTGGAACTTGTGTTTGGGAAAATCAAATTACCTGGCTTGACGTAATTCCCCATTGTTCTTGTTCTTGAACAACACTCAGTCTCAGTTTACAGATTTAATATAAAGAGTTAACAACATGACTTCAGAAAGACTTACACTAATTCAAGGGAAAATGCAGCCAACCTAACAGTTCTAGTTCTTTTTACCCCTATTCATTCAAAATTAGTTTGCATACAAATGTTTAGGCTTATTGCTTTGATGGATTCTTTGTATGAACAGCCATTATTTATCTATCCCTATTAACAGAATTTTCATTTGACTTAACATCACATCATATTTTCAGATACTGTGCATCAAATACTGCACAACCATCTAATGAGAGATTAATTAAAACACATGCTTATTCCAATGTCCATATTCAGGTGCTGTCTGTTGATAATGCTGATTTTACAGTAAGACAGAGTGCACTATCCATAGGCTATAGTTTGGGATATTGCAAAGTAGTAAGAAATACTGTAGTAAGAAGTATTATTTATTGCAACGAACAAGGACATACATACAATTTTGTTGCTACTAAGATTGTTGGATATACAGATACAAAGATAGCCAGGGATATGATTGAAGCATATTTTCAGGTACTGTTTGAATCCTGGGAAAAGGATCCCTTTGTCAGTCAACAGGAGTGCCAAGTCCTCAGCTCCTATATTTAGGAGCTGAGGACTTGGCAGCACAAGAAAACAACAGCCAAGTGCTAGCCATCACATATCAATCAATCAATAGGAAGAAATCACATAAATACAATGCATAGAATAGCCCAAACCACACATTCCAGTAGAGAGAAGTTCCTTGAGGGTGGACTCCGACATGAGTCCAAAAGTCAGAAAAACAAACCTCTGGTCCTGGTGACTGACCCAGATTGCATCTTACAGTATTATTTAGATCCATCACTTTTATTTTGTTCATATTAAAGAATCTGATTTTCCCTAGTTTATTCTTTTACCAGCAGCTCGATAAACTCTACCCTGTGATGATATTTTAAAGAAACTACTATGAAATGGCAACTGGTAGAAAGACTCTGAGGAATTTAAGGAGCTGTATGCTATTGTAGTGTGTACTATTTTATGATTTCCCATCTCCCAAGAGCAGTTGAAAGTGATACAGTTCTAAATTCCATTCTGTTTACAGAATTTAATTTTGTATTCAGGCTTTTGTGTTTTTTAAAATATATATTTTTAAAAAGCTCATTGATTCCTTTTGCAGTGCCTGCTTAGTTTGGCCAAAGCACATAGAAATCCTCTCTGTTATTTGCATTCAATTAAATTTCATGCGCTTATGGCATATTTTTAAAATGTTGCCTGTTTTGAAAGCTTACAGCAGTATAGTAGCTTACAATTCACACCTTTCTTTACAGTAAATTTATATCTGCAAAGGAATTAGTAAAATAATTAACTTCTCATGTAATGCATGTGATTTGTTTTAAACTTTTTAAAATATATTTTATTCACATATTAGATTCTTCGATTTGTAGGATACATCTTTAAAATGATTGGCTTGATTTGGCTAGCTATTCAGTATGATAGAATCTGTTGTCTTTGTTATATATTCATTTATGGCCTTGATCTCAATGCTTTCTTATATGTATTATATAGCACAAAGATAGGTTTTGTAAATATTGCTCTGCTAAATTATTGAGGTGTATGATTTTCAAGTATACATTTATCAGAAGACATTTATAACCTTAATGAAATCAGGAGTAAATCATATTTTTGACCAAGTAAAAATATTTAGAATTTAGAGGACATGTTACAGTCATTCCCATAAAATGGCTGTCAGATTCTGCATGAACATTCACAAAATACCCATTTATAAGAAGGCAAACTAGCGTGGTTCTTTCCTTTGCAGTCCTGCATTCCTACAGGATTATATCTTCCAATCCTTTATCTACTTTTTGGGAAGGCATGCATAATGTCAGATTAAACACTGAGCTGCAGACATGTGCCATTTTACTTTCTAATAATGCCTACGTGGTTTATATGGGATGAGAAACATTGCTGAAAAAAATGACGATGCTGGCAGCTGATGCATTGTAGTTTAGCATTATATTTATTTATATTCTACTTTATTATTTTTACAAGTAACTCAAGCTGGTGAGTTGGGCTGAGCGATTGACTGGCCCAAAATCATTCAGTTGACTTTCATGGATAAGACAGAACTTGCTCATGGTTTCCCACTTTCTAACTTGATGCTTTAACCAGTAGACCAATTATTCTTAGAACAGATTTTTTTTAAAAAAGTAGATAGGTAGAGAATGTGAAGTGAACCAAGGAAGAAGACTATAGGCATCAGTGCTCATGGCACAGGTTGTCTATCCATGTGTTATAATTATTCTTACTGTTATTTAAAATAAGCAAGTTGTGTAAGAGTATCACAAACCTTATTATAAGGCATCTATTTACTTTACTTAGGGTCAAGTTATGTTCAGAAATGGAGAGAGGATGGGGACCATCAAATTCACACAGTTTCAAGGTAGGTGACGGATATTTATTTATGCCTTGCACCTATATTGTTATGACTGTAGATTTCAATTTGAAGATATGGTATATTTTGCTTTGTTTTATACTTTATGATGATGTGAAAGTAAAAGGATATATGGCAATAAAATTTAGCAGATTACATAGGAATATATTTTTAAAAATAAATAGGATCATTTATGTAGAGACTGATTTTTTTTAAAAAAAAATTGATGTTAAAGAATAGAAATACAGCAGGCTAATTTTTTATTCCTTCTGAAAAGTGAAATAGAATTTGCAACTTGGAATAGTTGCTCTATAATTTCTTCCTTTCCTCTTCTGCATCCTCTTTCCTCTTCTTCCTTTTGCCTTTCGTTTAAAGCAATGACATGTTTTGATAGCCAAATATTGACGAAAAATTGTAATAGTACAATGGCTTGGATTCATTTTAGCAAGAGTATATATTCAAGAGAAGATGCATAATTTAAACCTGACACTTTCCAGATGTGTTGGAAATGGAGCGTCAAGATTTCCCAATATATTTGGCATTACTTTGGCAAAAGTTGCCTTAAATTATCCCATTTGTGGAAAGTTTATTATAACCATATATAATTTAAGAATCATGCTTTTAATATGCTACATTCCTGTGACATGTTTAGAAAATGTACTGTATAGATAACATAGAACTGCAGATTTAAAAGAAGAAGAAATAACTAGCATTATCAGATAGAAAACTTGACAGATTAATACTGTAAATAAAATGTAGGTATGGAAAGGATTAATGCTTCAGTTATCTGTATTACAACTGAAAAATCAATTAATTATACTTGAATATTTCCACAAATGAATTATCTATGTCCTTTTGAGCTACTAAAGAATTATTGAATTTACTTAGAATTATTAAGCAAAAGTGTATTTAATGAATTATTTTTAAAAACTCATTGATAAGTTTATTTATTTATTCGATTTATATAGCAACCCATCTCAGCAAACAATTCTGAACAACTCACAATTGAAAAACATACATTACAATTAAAAATGTAAAAACATTTCAAAAGAATAAAAACAGTAAAATCAAAATTTCTAATTCGAGTACATACAAAGCAAGACATATGGCCAGGAATATAGCCAGGAAACAGGCCCTTGGCACATATAGCACCCTAGACTCTGGAGCATAGCCAAGTTTTTAAAGCTTTAGGGAAGGCTAACAGGGTTGAAGCCATTCTAATCTCTGAAGGAAAGATGTTCCACAGAGCAGGGACTGCTGCAGAAAAAGCTCATCTTCTAGTTCCTGTCAGCCAACATTCTTTGTCTGATGGGATCTGAAGCATGCCCATCCTATCTGATTTGGTTGGAAAAAAGGTGATTCCTCAGGTATCCTGGTCCCAAGCCATGTGGGTCTTTAAAGGGTAACTACCAGCACCTTGAATTCCACCTGGAAACACACTGGTCAGCCCATGAAGGAATGATGTTATGTGTGCCGTATATATCTGGCACCAGTTACCACCTGAGTGACTGCATTCTGCACCAATTATTTTATTTTATTTATTTGGTTTGTCAGTTGCTTATAAGATAATAGGTATAAGTAAAAACATAGTTATGAATATCGGATACATATAAGAAAAATAAAAAAATAAAAGAGACAATAGGACAGGGACGCTAGCTGTTGCGCTTATGCATGCCCCCTTCAGACCTCTTAGGAAAGGGGTAAGGTCAATAGTAGACAGTCTAATTAAATTAATTAATTAATTAAAGTTTCCAAATTGTCTTCAAGGACAGCCTCATGTAGAGCATGATACCGTAGTTTAAAGTTGCATTCCAAAAAGCTGTGTTTCCCAACACAAATAAAAGTTAACACTGTAATAGCAGTTTTGTACTAAACACAGATACACAAAGGTTTCTCAGTAAAGAGGGTAGGAAGTAAGAGAGAAGATGGTGGACCGAAGATGGTGGAGCCAACATTTGTGACCATGACTAGGGACCCAATGAGCATATTGGTTCCTTCAACCCTCTCTGGATAAACAAAGGAAACCCAAGCTGTTGTTTCTTGCAGTTGTTTCTCATAAGACAGCAACCTTGGGGGTGGGGGAATCTTGAGATAAGAGAATTTGCCATTGTTGCTCCAACTGCAAATGGTGCTTTTTCAAAGGGCAGTAAGTTTGCTCTTCCCTTGCTATCACTTTCAGAAATTGCCTATTCACTTCTTCAAAGAAGTTAGATACCTTGAAAGTGGTAAGATTGCAAACACCAAGAGAGTGCCCTCAAGTCCTTAATATATGTAAAAAAGATTTATCATTATAAATGTTAAGAATTTTAAATAAACAGCAAAAAACAAGACCTTTGGCCTGAAAGCATTAAGAGCTCAGAAAATATTGGAATAACAGATTTTGGATATTAAGTCTGAAAATAATCTTAAAAAATAAATGCATTTTTTGGGGAAAGAAAAACTGTTTTTGATATTGGAGACATAACAAGACATTTATAATGGCATTCAGAGGTATCTTTGAGGACTTGCACTCAGAACTGCACTAGGGCTTTCAATCAATTATGTCAGCTATAATGTTTCTCATGGGGAGCAATCCATTTAAAGAAAAATATGCAACAACCATCTAGCTGAAAACAACACGATCAAGATTTTGAATTGGTCATCAAATATAAAGAAAGAAATGAATGAGGCTTTAAAAATTAAGAAGCAAATAAAAATGACAATTCCAGAGAATAACAATTTATTTTTGTTAGACTTACAAAGGAGGGTGTTTAAACTATTGAAGAAATTCATAACAAGGATCAACAATCATCTGAATAAAGGGAAAGATTGTTTTGTATTTTTTTAAAAAGGAGTACAGAGTTGGTTTATATGACCAGGGTAAAACGGGACATGTTATCTATCTGTCATAGAGTACAATTATGTACTCTAATTGGATAGCATTTAACTGGCTCTGTATCTAATTATCTTTTTACTTTAAAAAAGTTTTGTGAATTGGTTTTTAAAGTATAAATTACCCTTCTTTGTTATGTTAAATTTTAGTCTTTTTTATGTTAAGATACTGGGATTGCTTAATATTTGCTAAATGTGGATTTGTTTAAAGTCAAGATATGGAAGTATTGAATTCGATATATTATTATTTGGCATAGTTTTCTTTTGAATTTTTTTGACATTTTGGGTGGAAAACGGAAGCTTGTATTTTTTTAAAGGAGAAATAGTACCTCTTTGTCATGTTAAACTTTAGTTTTTTGTTTACACTAGGATGTCAAGACCACTTCATGCCTTTTAAATGGAGTTCTGCTTACTGCTAAGAATTGAAATGTGGAATATTAAGTTTTATATATATTAATTAATGTTGTTATTTTGCAGCTCTGTTTGAATTTTTGCTGACAATTGGATTGTAGAAAATATTACTTATTTGTCCATTTCTGTTAGAATAAAAAAGGATAATGTTCTCAGTACAACGCCAAATGCATTATGTAGCCAAATTGATATAGGTACCCACATTCTATAGCAACATGTCTGTAAAGAAACAAGACCCTTCCTGATTTTGCATCTTCAGATTTCTGTGAGGAAATCTACAGAATTACAAATCAGAGTATGAAGCAAGGCTAAATCTTTTGGCCAAAACCTTCCAATTAAAACTCTTGATTCAGATCACTTGCTCTATAGTCATCACAGAAATCCTAACATCCATTCCCTATAAAACAAGCAAGAAATCAAAACAGTGTTAGAGAAAGATTATTCAAGTTCAGCTCACATGAGCAACGGATTTGCTCTTAGGGCATGCTAAGCTATTGCATTAATTTATGAGAATGAAAGCAGAATCTGCTTTGCCAAATGATGAAAGAGTTCAGGCAGCGAAATACATTTTCTTATGTTTGTAGTTTTATGCAGAGTTTGAAATGTGTCCAAAAGCAAATTTGCAGCTAGCATAAAATAACGGAAAGGCTTCGTATGATTGTGTCTTTTAAGTTAAGGGTAAGGACTAATATGTTCAGTTCTCAAAGGGTAAGGACTAATATGTTCAGTTCTCAAAGTCTCTTCTAATGATCAAAAGCAGCAGGAATATCTGAAATCAATATTCTCCCAGATCCTACCTCCTTGGCTTGCTTGCAAGCACAGTCTAGTTTGGCCATTCAGTGGTACCCTTCAAGGAAGGAAATGCAGAGTAGAAGAATTACTTGCATGTACTCCAAATGAAGCACTTGCGAGGTTGGCTCTGTCAGGAAAGACCTGCTTGAAAGCCATCCTTGTATTTTAAAACAGATCTCCTTGGGGAACCAAATGATGTCATCGAAGGAGATTGAATTTCCTGTTTGTTTATTTAACATATTTGTATAAGGCCCCACTTCACAAGGAAGTGACTCTGGGTGGTGTAAAATGCTTAATTAAAAAATACATAAGAAACAATCAGAATTTAAAAAACAATATAAAAGGTACCTAAAACAAGAGAGGATTATAATAACTCTATAAAGGAACCATTGCAACATCTCTTCAGCCCCTAGAAGACCCCAGGCCTGATAACGTAGTCAGTTCTTGAGGGACTTATGGAATGTTGAGAGGGATGAAATTAATCTTACTTTTTTTTGGGGGGGGGGAGAAGATTCCACAAGGCAAGCATAGCAACAGAGGAAACCCTCCTCCTGGGATCCTCCCCCAAAATATTACTTCATGGCAGATGGGAGCCACAGCATGCCTTCTCTGCCTGAGCAGATGGGCCAGGCAGGTGTAATCAGGGAGAGGCATCCTTTAGAAAATCCAGCCCCATGCCATAAAGGGCTTTAAAGGGCAAAACGCTGAATTAGACCAGGAAGCAAACTGTCAAACAGTGCAGCTCACAGAGCTGAGATGTAACATGTATGCCCTTCCTAGTGGCACATTTTATATAGGGGCTACAATTCTATGTAAGAAGTATATTTCTTTTTTCCCCTGAAACCTTTCACAGTATCTTTCTTAGATTTTTTTAAAATGAGTTTTCTTTCTGGGATTACAGCCAACTTGATAGGATATATGAAAATATTATGAAT